TGGTGGAGCGGATCGCACAGCACCATGACCGATGTCTGTCTGTTGTTCTTTCTGCATCAGGTGGACTGATGGATTTTACACTCACATACTGAGCATGCCTGATACTAATGTGTACTTTTGTTTTACGTTATGTTCTTCATCTTTATTTCTGTTGTGCTGGACTGTGTGAAAGCAGCTCAACACAGATGAAGGTCTAGTTGAGACACATACACACACTCATGACACACACCTGATGCTCTGCTGTAGGTAGCGGTCTGGGTCCTGCGCAGTGTAGCTGGTGATGGGCTCCGTCTGCTCGCCTTCCTGCAGTTCCAGCAATTTTGGATTCGGGTGAAACACAGAGGGGGCGACACGATCATTCATAATTAATAAATATAGTTAGAGAGACAGAGAGAGAGAGAAAATCACAGGTTCTGGACACTTCAGTCAAGCTCTAAAAGTCTTGACCGCTAAGGCACGCAGGGCTTTTTATTGTATTAAAAAAACCTCTTTATGTTTAACCCACCCATTAAACTGTGGCTGAAAATATTTGACACCATAGTAAAGCCAGTCCTGCTGTATGGCTGTGAACTCTGGGGACCCACATTTAAATTAAACTATGAATCTTTGGAAAAAACTTCAGTTGAAATCTTTCATCTGGAATTTTGCAAAAAACATCCTCGGAGTTCACAGAAGCACACCTAGCCTTGGCTGCAGAGCAGAACTAGGCAGGTTCCCTCTGCTCTCAGACATCCAGAAGAGAGCAGGGAAGTTCTGGCTCCATCTGTCAGACTCCAGCCCAGAGAGCTACCATCAGCAAGCCCTCATATATAGAAATGCACATCCGGCCAGCGACCCCATGCACTATCTGGAGGAAAAACACCAACTAAATTCACAAACCCTGTCCCAACATATAAAGACTAAAGAAATAGAAAAGATTACCCAGGAGGATTATAAACTCAATTGGCAAACTAAAGTACAACAAATAAAAAGGTTGGCGTGCTTCCACCAGATTAAACCTGGGTATGAACTGGCCCCGTATCTGACCAACATTTAGAGCCCCGGTCAGAGAAAGCTGCTGAGCCGGTACCGTCTGAGTGGACACAGTCTGAGTGTGGAGACGGGCCGACACAAGCGCAGCTGGAGGAGCCCAGAGCTCAGAGCTCAGACTGTGTCCACACTGCCCTGCTGGAGTTGTGGAGGATGAGCTGCATTTGCTCATGCTTTAAGCCTATCCAGGTTGATTGAGCTTTAAAAATGAATGAAAACTTGTTGCCCTGAAACAACAACCTGTACAACATTGTTAAAATCATAGCTACAATAAACCTAAAAGGTGTTGTTTCTTCAACAAAACAAAATGAGCTTTTTTTTTTAATAAACCTTCATTTGGAAACCTTCAAAACCTTTATTTCAGTCAACTAAACATTTAATTAAATGCATTTGAAATCTTAAATACAATAAACTTAAAAATATTGTTTTTCAACAAGAAGAAATTAGCTTTTTTGAGGACAAGTGTTCATCTCAACCAGTTCAATCAACCTGTCAGGGTGACGACTGACAACACAGAACAATTATGTACAAAAGAAATATGCTAAACATTAAACAGATGCAGTTAGTCAAGAGATCTAAATGTTGAATTGTATGTACAGATTAGTTATAAATATACAGGTTACACTGTGCTGTATACAAATGCGAATGGAGAAAGTATTGCATTGTATATTGATATAAAGTCACACATTCATTCAGTGACAACGTGTGACACACAAGTGTGACTTAAAAACAACATGAGCACTGTTTATTTGACTGAACAATGCTGTACTGATAGTCATTGGCTGCATATGATTTCTCTATTTAGAGTTTGCAAAGAATCCTCTTCTGAAATGATATTATTAAAGGGAAAGTCTGCATGTGCAAATATAAAACCAGCTTTACCACTGTTCATGTGTCTGCTGTTTTTATCCCATTGATTTCCATTATAACAACTGTTTATTTTAAAATCATCACATATCATCATGCATTCCTAAATGTTGTTGGTTTTCCTTGTGGGATTAAGAGCCATCATTTGTCATTTTTACCATTGATCATCAGTTGCAGTGCAAATTAAGTTTCTGGCTTTTTTGTGTGCAATTTAGTGAGTCCTTTGCGCACATACTTTAATAAGTCTGATAAAAGCCAAATCAGCACCTCAGCTGTCAGAGAATACTTAACATTAACATTACTTAACAGTAAGTGTATTCATGCATGTGCACTATAATTTGCTATTTCATCTCATATAACTCCATATAAAAGCCAGAATTTTTTTTACCTCGGGCCTATCTGAATGCTGGAAACTGATGATCAACAGTAATAACCACAAACTGTAGCTCTTTCCAACAACTCAGGTGGAGTTGCAGTCAAGCCGGTGTTGAAGCTTCGGTTCAAGATTATGGCTTTGTGAAGTTAGACCTGTGCTGAACCTACTGGGCTGATGCTCGCTCCAACTAAGGTGAGTTTGCAGCATGATCATGACACTCAGATCACCTTAACTCAGGGGAGTCCAAACTCAGTCCTGGAGGGCTGGTGTTCTGGAGAGTTTGGCTCCAACCCTAATCAGACTCTTAATAGATACACTAGAAGCTTCCAGGCAGGTGTGTTGAAGCAGGTTAGAGCTAAAGTCAGCAGGACACCAGCCCTCCAAGACTGAGTTTGGACACCCCTGCCTTAACTCCTGTGTTTTCCCCTGTACAGGCCCAGTGCACTCCGGAGACTGGTAGTGTTCCCTCCAGTGTTGCCGAGTATCCTCCGCCAGATTTCCAGATCTCCACCCAAAACTTCTTCACCGCCTCTGTGAGACTGCACATGAAGCAACAAATAAACTAAACTGATAAAGTAGATGTGCAGTATTGTATAAGCGTTTCCAATAATCGAGATATTCATTAGTAGCCTGAATGTCCACTGGTCCATTTCAGACAGAGTGAAGGATAATATGTTGATGCGTCTCGCCTCATCTGCATCTGTTCAGTCTCTGCATGAGAGTAATGGGAGTTTCCACATTGGTGGGCGAGAGAGGCCAATTTTCAACTCGTCACCTGATTGGCTCACATCGGGTTTCATCCATACTTGCATTATTGATTCTGTGATGTAACATTGTTGGTTTCATTTCAGTGTATTAAGTTAATGAAGCTTAATTATTCTATTTACAGTCACCTTATAGTCATGTAAAATAATAAATCATTCAGAACAACTCTGCTGTTTACAGTATCTCCATATCTATATAAATATATAATGTGGCCAAAATTAAAAGTCTATTTCACACTTTACTCTATTTCATGTTGTCGCACATCATTAATGGTAATACTGATTGATCATTAAGATGAGCAGAGTAATACAGTAATAACAGCAGGAGGAGAACGCTGCTCACTCATCAGTGCCTTTACATACAGCGTAAAAATGCACAATTCATTCATATTGTCCCAACACAAATCGATTAGGTTAACTTTTCACTTTTAACAAATTTATGTGGATTGTACACAAAATTAAGCTGTCATGATGAAATCTCAAGAATTGTATTGATTCAGATTATTGTAAATAAGTAGTTTGAACAAGCAAAAAAATGTTTTTAGTTTGTATCTGTAATCTGTCGTTAAGTGTTTTTTATATTTCACTCATTTTTATTTAGATTTCTACATTCTTGATCAAACATTCGCCGTTAACTTCTAAATAAAGTGGGAGAAATGATCACACATGAAGGAGAAGAGTAAAGTAAACACTAAAAATAATTATTAATTGATTGAATGAACAGGAAAGGGGCTATCTCCTACAGGATGTGAGCGGTTTGTCATATTGCCCAGCCATACTTTAATACACGTTCTCGAATAGTTTAACTAATTATTGTTTGTTCCATGGCGAGCTCTGCTGAACAGGCCAAGAATTGACTGTTAACTATTATTCCCTTCAACTTTACAAATGTCTCATTACAACATCAAAAACCCTAAACTGATCTGAGATCAGGTCAAATGATGAGAACAGTTCAGTGGTCCGCCACTAGAGGGCGATCACATTCATGTGGATGTCATGGCGTCAGCCCCCTAGTGGAGAAATATTGAGTTACTGTAATGTGACGTTGTTGGTTTCATTTAAGTGTATTAAGTTAATGAAGCTCAATTATTATATCCACAGTCACCTTGTTGTAATGTAAAATAATATATTAGACAACTCAGCTGTTTTGTTGTAAATTTTTTGTTAATTTGTTAGATTTACAATGTAACACACTCAGACATAGAATTGGTGATGAGAATTTGTGTAGAAAATGCAGTTAAATTACTGATCATTAGTTGAAATTAGGCTACACTGTGATCCACAGAGAACATCACTGTCTTTATTCCTATATTACTAAAGTGTTGCCTTTAAAACCCTGTTGTTATGATGGTTTCATGAGAATAACCCGCATACAGAAAGAGCAATGACTATTATTAGCAGAAGAGGGATGACACTGCAGCCATCATATATCATAGCCAGGGCCAGACGGAATCTGCGGATGATTTTTGCTATTTCTGCAGAGAATTTTGGTAAAAATCTGCGGATTTCTGCAGAATTATTTTGGGAGTATCATAACTAGAACCTTAATATATTAAATAAAAAGTAATAAATTACTGAATAAAAACTGAATGAATTCAGATTTACACATTTACTCAAGTAAATAAACAGAATTAATAATGGGCAAAAAGATTTGAAGCAGAGAATGGGATATCTTCCATTAACCCGGAAGTTTACATGTTCTTACGGTCCCGGTGTGAAGAGTGTCCTCCGCTTCTGCCGCCAGCAGGTGGCGCGATTCTGCCCAGCGCCTCCATCAACATCCTCAAAGCGTCCACATGTTAGAGCAGTTAGTTTACATCAGGGGTGTCCAAACCCGGTCCTGAAGGGCAGGGGTTCTAAAGATTGTAGCTCCAACTTGCCTCAACACACCTGCAAGGAGGTTTCTAGAAAGCCTAGTAAGAGCCTGATTAGCTGGTGCAGGTGTGTCTGATTAGGGTTGGAACTAAGCTTTGCAGGACACCGGCCCTCCAGGACTGAGTCTGGGCATACCTGCTTTACATCAATGAGGGTTTTATTTGGTAAAATGTAATCAGCAGCAGTCACCAAAACCACAGCACAAACACGCTGATAATGATAAGAGTTAAATAAAACGACACACAGCGGAACCTTCAGCACCGCCGCGGCTGCACACCGGAAGGATTTTAACGCTGCGCTCTACACATACATGGACGCGGAGCCGAGGTGAGCGCGAGTTGTGTGTTTGTTTACGTGTGTGTGTGTGTGTGTGTGTGTGTGTGTTTCAGTGTTTCACAGCGAGAAACAGGATGTCTGTTGTGTTTTACTGTGCTGGTATCGTGTCGTCTCTTGAGTTATCAGCCTGTCTGTGTTTGTTTATTACTGGTGATTATCCATGAAGACTCATTAAGGTTTAAATGAAGAGCTGTGGCTGTTCAATACAGCAGCTCCACAGCACAGCACAGCCACATCATCTCCTCAGTCCTGCTGACATCACGAGCCTCCAACACCTCTCTCTCTCTCTCTCTGCCTCTCTCTCTCTGTCTCTCTCTCTCTCTCTCTGTCTGTCTATATATAATGTCTTTTAAACTCAGACAGACACTGCTTTATCCAGCATTAACCCTTTCTGTAGCTCTCGGTGTCCAGTAGGAGAAGACTGCAGGTGTTACAGCGTGATCCGTGCAGGAGCAGCCGCTGATCTGCAGAGCTCAGCTGGAGCATTCCCTGACAGCTGGACAGATGATGGAGGTGTAGCAGGGCTGTTTTCTAGTGATGTGCAGCCCACCGGCTCATTAATGCACAGTGATGAGTGCAGGATTGAGCATTTGGACTCATTTATATTGAGACAGCAGGGTATCAGGGTAAGGTGCTGATGTGGCCATACACAAGCAGACGATGGTTAAACTCAGAATGAAAACTGCTGTAGCTGTTACTTACCTGAGCTGATGTTCATTCAGGTTTCAGCTTAGTCCCTTTATAAATCAGGGGTTGCCACAGTGGAATGAACTGCCAACTATTCCAGCATCTGTTTTACACAGTGGATCCCTTTCCAGCTGCAACCCCGCACTGGGAAAGAGCTGATGTTGGTTTCTCAGTTAATGCTCCTAGTCTCTGTCCATCTATTGAAGAGAGTTAATTCAGTCACTCAGTGCTGTTCCTATAACTCATATTTCCAGAGTAGCTGCAGCTCATCTGCCGGTGTCCTGATGTTGATGTTAATCTGAGAGTCTGACTAACATGAACTAATGAGGCTGTACTAATGAGAAGTGTCCTGCTGTACTTCACCATCCGTATGCTCTTTAATCTGCCTAAAGCGCTGGTTTACAGTCTCCCTCTCCTCCAGGGCTCATCATCATCATCAGGATGTCGTCAGTAATCTCTCAGGGGTTTCAGAGCAGTAAGCAGGAGTTCAGCTTCGGGCCGTGGATCATCAGCGCCACCAAAACACACATCATGAAGTCTAAAGACATCGAGAGGTAAAGAAGAGCACAGGTGTGTGTGTGTGTGTGTGTGTGTGTGTGTGCAGTCGGGTGTAGGTCTGGAAGGGATGCAGCTGTGCTTGAGCTCATCAGTAGAGCATCAGTTGTGTGACGCTGCTCCACATTAATCTTCATATGACTGTTCATTAAAGCAATTTCTGCAAAAAATCTGACGCAATCTGCTGACTAAAAAGTCTATTGTGTCATATTATGCTCTGTTTATTTATGTTGTTCAGTCCTGATTAATCATTGACATGAGCAGAGTATTACAGTAAAGCAGAAGCATCAATAGCAGCAGGAGGAGGACGCTGCTCACTCATCAGCGCCTTACACTGAGCACTTTAAGCAGAATTATCTGTCGGACCTGGAATCTAAATGTTTCATATTTATACTCGTATTTATTTATATTTCTACATCCTTGATAGAACATTTGCTGTTAACTTCTAAATAAAGTGAGAGAAACGGTCACACATGAAGGAGAAGAGTAAAGTAAACACTGTAAAAATAATCAGTAAGTGCTTGAATGAACAGGAACAGATTGTCATTGCCCAGATCTGCTTTGATATCCGTTCTCTAATAGTTTAATTTAATATTGTTTGTTTCATGCTGGGCTGTGCTGTACAGGCCAAGAACTGACTTAACCATGATTATTCCTTTCAACTTTACAAATGTCTTCTAAAAACATTGACAAACCCTAAAACTGATCTGAGGTCAGGTCAAAATGATGAGAACGGTTCAGTGGTTCGCCACTAGAGGGCGATCTGAATAAGCTCTCCTCATTCATGTGGATGTCATAGTGTTAAACCACAGTGGAGGAACACCGAGTTACTGAAACCTTTCCGGACAGTAATGATGAGCTGAGGAATGCTGTTAATCACGCATACGCCAGAGTCCACCACGAACTGGAGACGATAGACTGCTCTGTGTTTGGCAGCGTAATGAAGCAGCGCCTGTGAGTTTAAAGGTGTGTGTGTGTGTGTGTGTGTGTGTGTGTGTGTGTGTGCAGGCTGGCGGAGGCGATGCAGATGCCGGCTCTCCCAGAGATGCTATTTGGTGATAATGTGCTGCGGATTTGGCACAGCGACGGCTTCGGCATCGAGTTCAACGCCATCGACGCTCTGAGACGTGTCAATAACCTGCAGGAGTCGGTGAAGGTGGCCTGCGCTCAGGAGTGGCAGGACAGCAGGTACAGCAGTGTGTGCACAGATGGAGATCAGGGCTGCGTCCCAATGCACACACTACCCGTCCTCAATAGTGTTCTAATACAACATTAGTGCGTCCCATACTGTAGTGTGCTGAAAAGAGTAAAAATTCAATTAGAACTACAAACATGGCGGATACACGAGACCAAGCGTACAGTAGAGAGGCGCCGGTAACGATGTTTGAGTGACTCTTAGTTAATAAAGCAGGTTTCCCTGTTATATTCCATCTGATCAACACTGAGGACTCCTGCACAGACGTGATCAGACGAGTATAGAGTTACACAAACACTGCGGAGGAGATTTCTGCATGCCAGACTCCTGAACGGCAGATCAGCACACAGCCGAGTCCACAGTAATGTGGTGAAGTCAACATGACAGAGTGTGGAGGATGATCAGCAGCACGATAATGAGCCAGTTTATCCCAAATCCCAACTCCTCTGTGTGTGTGTGTGTGTGTGTGTGTGTGTGTGTGTGTGTGTTTCTCCACAGGGCTCAGTCTGAGCACTCTACAGAGGCGGTGAAGCGCTATGACTGGACCTACACCACCGACTACAGGGGAACGCTGATCGGAGAACAGACACAGATGAAGGTGCGCTCTCACACTGCAACACACAGATATAGACTTTAAGGGTCCTCGCTTCTCCACACTGCAGCGCCTGAACACACAGAGCTGCAGACGCCACTGTGGAGGATCAATAACAGGTGTAATGGCATGCTCGTATGTAAGGTTCTGTTGGTGTGCGCGGGCCTCAGCTCTTGGTCTCTCTGTAACTGTGCTCGGGCTTTTTCATTCTTCAGCTCTCTCCAGCAGATATTCAGCAGAGTGTTTCCAGCAGATACTGTAGGGTTTTCATCACATATTAACATTAAAATCTTTTAATTATTTGTTTTGCCTTGAAACTGGGCTGAACATGTTGCATTTGCTGATGAAACGCATGCTGTGATCTGCTGCGGTCATGTTTAAGCTGCTAGACGGATCAGTGGATGCTTTCAGTCATTCTGGACACACTGATCTGATATCAGATTTGCTGGATCAGCATCTGCCATATAGGCTGATCCAAATCTGATATTGTGGAAATGTTCAAGCATATGAACATAACTATATCCCACTATCGCCTGTATATCGCACTGGTGGGAGGCTGTGTTGGCTCGAGGCCACAGGCTGAGTGTCTTAGTGTCCCACCAGTGGCGATATACAGCCATATGGCACTGCTACTCGTGTTATATTGCATTTATACAACAGTTTGACCGTATAATTGTGTGTATAAAACTGAAAATCAAACTCAGAGAGTCTAAAAACCCTTGTGTATGAGGAACTACTTTCTCTCGCCGTTCATTCACATCTGCAGCTGACGTCAGAACAGCAGAAGCCGCTGCTCATTCCCCATCATCACTGTAGAGCTGGTGTCTGAATGATTCTCCAGCGTAATGTCTACAGTGAAGACAGAACAGCTGATTCTGCTCACAGTTTAAGATGATAAGGCTGAACAGCAGGAAGTGTCATCAGTCTACAGCAGGGCTGTCAAACTCAATTCCTGGAGGGCCGCAGCCCTGCACAGTTTAGTTCCAACCCTGCTCCAACACACTTACCTGTAGGTTTCAAACCAGCCTGAAGGACTCCATTAGTTTGGTCAGGTGTGTTTAATTTGGGTTGGAACTAAACTGTGCAGGGCTGCGGCCCTTTTGGAACCGAGTTTGACACCTGTGCTGTACAGAGATCTCCCAGCGTTCCTCTGCTGCAGTCAGGAGATCACTATAGTGAACCCTGAAAAAGCCAAAGCAGAACAACACTAGCAGATCACTGCTGTGTCTGAGATGAGGAGAAACACTGAACACATGCGGGCATTTCTTCTGTCTCTCTGTTTACTGAACCAGTCTGCAGTAATGAAAACAGGAGACGCATCAGAAACAAGCAGATGGCCAACACAGAACACACACATTCCTGATGTCTGAGTGCCATCTCACACTCGACACTGCAGTTACTGTGGTATAAATACAGCACTGCAGCACAGCGAGAGAGATCCGCTCCGAGTGTCTCTGACCTGCTTAATCATGGAGTGATCAGCTGCAGTTTAACATTACGCTGGTTATTCCTCCTCTAAGTGCGCATTATACAGTCTCTGTCGCCATCTTGTGGATGGACAAAGTTGATGATCTTTGCTCTGCTCAGTATGGCAGGCTGATGGCCGCCGACGCGCTGTCTCTCAGAAATAATGAATATTTAAAAGTCAAAAGCTGTCCTCAATAATAACATGCGAGCTGCACTCTAAACCTCTCCATTCTCACCTAATTAAGCCTCGGCAGTGCACGATGATGGCCAGCGCTGCAGTATGAGTCCGACTGCAGTGAGTGTACTGATCTGCTGTCACTCTCTGTGGGCGGAGGAATACACGAGGGTGAAGAGGCTGGACCAGTGCTGTTACTGCGAATATCACACGGCTATCAGCCAATCAGATTCCAGAACCAGACAGAACTATTAATGGTATCACGTCCCTAGCTTCAGATGGATTGGTAGCAGTGTGTGTGTGTGTGTGTGTGTGTGTGCGCGTGTGTGTGTGTGCGCGTGTGTGTGTGCGCGTGTGTGTGTGCGCGTGTGTGTGTGCGCGTGTGTGTGTGCGCGTGTGTGTGTGCGCGTGTGTGTGTGTGTGTGTTTGACTCTGAGATCTGCTGTCCAGGTTTCTCCCACCGCCGAGCGCATCGACATGGAGAAGCTGAAGGCCAGAGAGCAGATCAAGTTCTTCGAGGACGTGCTGCTGTTTGAGGACGAGCTGCATGATCACGGCGTGTCCATGATCAGCGTGAAGATCGTGAGTTTGTGTGTGTGTATGTGTGTGTGTGTGTGTGTGTGTGTGTGTGTGCGCTCTGACCTCTGCTGTTTTCAGAGGGTGATGCCCAGCAGCTTCTTCCTCCTGCTGCGGTTCTTCCTTCGAGTGGACGGAGTGCTGATACGCATCAACGACACACGCCTGTACCACGAGGCAGGTTTAGCACACACACACTCACACACACACACACGCGCTGATGCGTGATATGTAAACTCAGCACACACTGGACTGAAGCCGCTGCTCTGTTGTCTGACACAGGCTGGGAAGAAGCACATGCTGCGAGAGTTCAGCACACGCGAGAGCAACATGGCAGATCTGCAGGTGTGTGTGTGCGTGTGTGTGTGCGTGCGTGCGCATGTGTGTGTGTGTTTGTGTGAACGCCTCTCTCTGTCTGTGTTTCAGCACATTCCTCCAGCGGTTTACACCGACCCCAATGAGATCGCTCCACATCTGCCGCTCAGACTCACCGAGTGCGAGAAGCTGGAGTTTCCAGAGGGAGACGCTCCTGCACACACACACACTCAGTAAAGCCAGCATCACACACACACACACACACACACACACACACACAGAAGCATCCGCTGCAGACTGGATTATGCTGTTCTGGTTGATCTGTTCGTCTTAATCTTCTACAGACACTAACCCCTCTCACACACACACACACACACACACAGTATAGCAGGGTCAGAAACACACTCACCCACAGAAGCCCTTGCTGAAGACTGTTCTGGTTCCTCATACTCTTCTTCAGACACTAACCCTCATCATCCTCATCTGTACTGCTGATGTGAGAGTCGCTGATGGACGTGTCCTCTGTTGATTGAGAGCTGTGGCAGATACAGCAGCGCTGCAGGAACACTGTACATCATATTAATATCTTCATGTGTGTATGAGGAACTGTCGCTCCTCTGAAGTCTGCTGGGAACTGTTGTGCTCGATCAGGACCGGTGTTAGTACACGGTTTCCGCCCGGTGGGGTTTGAGCGCGACACCAGTGTGTGCACGTGTGTTTGTGCTGCAACCGGTGAGTAACAGCAGTGTGTGTGTGAGAGATTTTTACTGTATCAACTGTGTTCAGTGATGTTCATCATGTGTGTCTGCGGTCTGTCCGGGGCTGATGAGGAGCTCTACAGGGCGGAGTGTGCGCATTACCCTGTCCTGAGCGCGTGCACACTGAGCTCAAGTACACTCGCGAGGCTTCATCAGAGCTCCTCCATCAGCACCTCAGCTCTTGTACCGGGGCTGTGTGTAGTTTCAGAGATTGTAAATTAAATAAAAGTGTTTTTTAAAGTAACTCATCGGCGTGTGTTCAGTTTCCTCCTGTTGTCCACCGCTGCTGTTCTGATATCCACACCTTCACTCTTCAGCCGCGGACAGTCCGAGCTTAGCCTGGCCAACAGCAGTGCCGGAGGGGTCTGCTGGTCTTCATCACCTGCTGCGGGTTGTTGAGAGCAGCACACCGCTATTGATCATCAGTATTAGCTCTTATTAATCCTGCTTTACTGTGGGAATGAGAGTCTGAATGTGCGAGTAAAATAAGCAGCTTTACTGTCGGTGTCGTGTCTGCACAGCGCAGATTGTTGATTTGTCAGGGATTCTCTCTGCAGTGTTCAGACGCTGATCTGGAGCTCCAGACATGCCGAAGATCAGCCGGAGAGCGGCGCGGCGCAGCGGGCAGGAGGAGCGTCTGCAGCGGGTCAGCTCTGCCTCTTCACCCGCGACTCAGCGCTCCGGGTCCCCGCAGGAGATTGAGGTAAAGTTGGTTTATATCAGGCCCGTGGGCAGCCTAGTGAAAGGGGGTGTTTTTCTCCAAAGGTGGAGCTTTATTTTGTTTTTGATTAAGTTTTAAATACAGTATTTAGTTGACATCTTCTGAATGATTTCGGGCTGGATTCGCGTGTCTTCTGGAGTCACCTGCAGTACCAGAATGATGAGTTTGGTCAAGATGCTCACTGAGATCATGAGCACATGTCATCCAAACACTACTATTGTCATTTTTATGGGGACTTCCTCTAGAGATACATATGAGATGGATATGGCGAGATACAGCAATGTTAATCAATATGCACAATACTGATAACAGTTATTTGACCGTTTACAGTGCTGTGTACAGATTGGGTTAGTGTTTGTTGATCACAGCAGCACGTGCTGGAATAATTAACAGCTGATTCATATTCAGACATTTCCGTATAATATCCCTGCTGAAACGGCTTAAACCCGTCTAGGCGGCTGAATCAGTGGGTTTGGTAAAGGAGACGCGTGCAGAGCTGGTGCTGGTGCTGCAGCGTGGTTGAGAAACACTGCAGTAATGGACTGTACAGTGTTGTGTTCTGATGCTCGTCGGCTGATCATGACTGGCGGAGAACACTTCTGACAGGATGTTATTGAGGAGAAAGTCTGAGTGTGGAAATAAACCCTCTCTACTCCATCAGCAGGAGGAGCGTCTGCAGCGGGTCAGCACTCTCTCCAGCTCCGGGTCCCCGCAGGAGTTCTTCCAGAGCCTGATCCGCCCGCTGGACCTGCAGGAGTTCTTCCAGCGGTTCTGGGAGAGACAGCCGCTGGTGCTGCACCGCTCGGACGCGGCTCTGGCCGGTTATTACGGCTCTCTGTTCCCACTGTCGGGGCTCCGGCGGCTCTGCGCCCGCGGCCTGCAGTACGGCACCGACATCAACACCTGCCGCTGCGTGCGCGGACAGAAGCGGCTGCTAAACCGAGCTGGAGCCGTCGACTTCTGTCTGCTGGAGAGAGACTTCCTGGAGAAGAAGGCCACCATACAGTTCCACCAGCCGCAGAGGTTTCAGGTCAGACACACACACTCACACACACACATTCTCACACTAACACACTTGCATATGGTCTCTCTCTCACACACACACACACACACACATACAATCTTTCAATCTCACAGATAGACACACACACTGCAGTGGCCGTAGCTTATGTGTGTGTGTGTGTGTGCAGGATGAGCTGTGGCGTATCCAGGAGCGTCTGGAGTGTTTCTTCGGGTGTCTGGTGGGCTCTAATGTCTACATCACCCCTGCCGGCGCCCAGGGGCTCCCCCCGCACTACGATGATGTGGAGGTCAGTTACGTGTGTGTGTGTGTGAGAGACAGAGAGAGACAGTGATTTTACAGGTGTGTGTGTGTGTGTGTGTAGGTGCTGATCCTGCAGCTGGAGGGACAGAAGCACTGGAGACTCTATGAGCCCACCGTCCCGCTGGCGCGCGAGTACAGCCTGGAGCCCGAGGGCCGCATCGGGGCCCCCACACACGACTTCATCCTGCAGGTGTGTGTGTGTGTGTGTCAGAGTGGCTTAGGGCTGTGTTTGTGTGTGGCTGTAGCACATGTAACGTGTGTGTGTGTGTGTGTGTGTGTGTGTGCTCAGGCTGGAGATCTGCTGTATTTTCCCAGAGGAACCATCCACCAGGCGGACACTCCAGCAGGAGCAGGACACTCCACACACCTGACCCTCAGCACCTACCAGAACATGTGTGTGTGTGCAGTCCACAACGTCACACACACACACACACACACGCTACAGAATGTGTTAGTGCTGCATTCATTCATTGTGTGCGTGCGTGCGTGCAGGTCGTGGGGGGATCTGCTGCTGGACCTGATGCCCGGTTGTGTGTTTGACCGTATGAAGACTGACTGTGAGCTGCGCACCGGCCTGCCCCGCGGCCTGCTGACGGTGACCTCTGACCCCTGACCTGTGTCTGAATCACTGCTGCACTAAAGGCCTGAGCACCACGCAGGATAACCATTAACATGCAGAACTAGTGTCCACAAAAACACAAACACACGCTTCAGCAGAGCACACACACACACACACACACATCTCTCTCTCTCTCTCTCTCTCTCTCTCTCTCTCTCTCTCACACACACACACTCTCTCTCTCTCTCTCTCTCTCTCTCTCTCTCTCTCTCACACACACACACACACAGTCACTCATCTATACTCAGAGGTGGGTGGAGTGTGTAAAGTCTACAGTCCAGCAGA